TTTTAAAAAATTTTGATTTAAGCTCATTACCTTCAAAATACCCATCACTACACGAGATCATTCCCTCGAGTGTTTTTTGATGGACCGTCTGAAATAGCGTGAGGTTCTCTGAGAGGGGAAGGGGCAGGAAAGGTGAGGTCGCAGACAGGAGGCTTGTCACCCTCTGAATTTCAACAAGCCATACCCTGAGAGGCGCAGGTGGTAACACGAAGCCCAGCTCAGGTATTCCTAGAAACGTTTCCAACCTTCAGTTCAGGGCGTTAGACCTGTGCTTCTCCAGAGGAAGTGCTTAGACCACCTGCCACCGGACCACCTGGAGCCCTGATGGAAGGAGACTTTCTGAAGCAGAATTTCTCTGGTGTGGCCAGGCTGTGTGCATGGACACAAGCTTCCTGGGCATAGTGTTGAAACACACTCAGGTTTGGAATTGGAAATGACTTCCAGGCCCTCTTTTCAGTTCTTCTTTCTCCCCGTTTTCCTCCCTGCACATATACCAGGGTCCCCTTCTCTGGTATCTGAGACCCAGGTACATTGGTCCTGGGTATGGAGGTAAAGAAAATGTTGGGACTACAGCGACTAAAAATATGCATTCCATCCCCAAAGAGACTCCGGAAGCTTAACCACTGTTCACATATCTTCTGCAGCTCTAGGTCATAGCTGGAAAACAATGTACCTCACCAACCCCCAAGTAGGTACTTTTTTTTCCTTCAAAATGGGTTCATCCGTGTGTGTGTGTGTGTGTGTGTGTGTGTGTGTGTGTGTGTGTGTTCCCATGTGTAGCTATCTGCAGGGGAATGGGTGAGATGATGTTGTATGGTCCCGGAAAGGAGACTTACAGTTCCAATGTTCAGGGTCTCGATGGTGAACTCGTCCACCTGGTTACATTCAAAACGTTTTTTCAGGTTGTTGTCGGAGGCAAGAAGGTCTTGCTTGATGGTGTCGGATTTGTCCCCATAGAGCTTGATGTAGACTTGGGAATCTGTGCTCGCCTCAGGGACGTCCCCCGTCTTCAAGCTGATGTGATAGCGGAAGTCTGAA